AACTATTATTTAAAAACGTTAAAAGAGAAACGAGGGGAAAAAAAAAAAAGACAACATACATTAGTTAAAATATTGAAGTTAATGGATAAAAGTCGTAGTGATGTATTGATGTTACATGCGTAGATATTTGTTTAATACAAGTATAACTGATGTTAGATCCGTTAGTAAAGAATTTATAATATTTAAGTTAATAGGTAGGTTGCATTATTAGTAGGGGTGGTAATTTGTGTCATGTGTCGTGTTTTGATCATTTTTTTTAAATTTACAGTCAACCTAAACACGACCCGTGACACGAAATTTTTTAAAAACCGCAACACGAATACAACACGACCACTTTACGAGTTGACACGACACGACCCGAAAATGACCCGTGACACGAAATTGACCCGTGAATCCAAAATTGACATGAAAATTGTATACTTTTATTTACTTTTTTACATATTAGAAATAACTTAAAATTCATAACACACTAAATTACAATAACATCCATTGAAATTAAGGAAATAATAGTATAAGATTTTGAGTATAACTATCATGATATCACAAGTTTATAATAAAATTTAAAATATGAAATGAAAAATATATGTATTTTTTAGTTTTTTACGAGTTTCGTGTCGTGTTCGGGTTAGGCGGGTCCAACCCGAAATTGACCCGTGTTTTTCATGTCAATTTCAGGTCGACCCAATTCTGACTCGAACCTCTTTTTTCTTAACCCTAACCCACAAAATTCGTGTCATTTCGAGTCGTGTCGTCGTGTCGTGACCCATATTGCCGGCCCTAATTATTAGTCTATACGAGAAATGTTAGCGTCATTCTTTTTATAACTTTTTTTTGTAACTTTCTACATTTACTGTTTGATATTTTGATCTCACTATCTCATTTTCTTTTTAAATAATAATATATCATATTATTAAAGTTTATGTGTCAAATAATAAATATAAAGTAGTAAATAGAGCGACAAAATAATAATGCTGGCATTTTTTTAATCTATATTAAAGGACACCTAAATTGAAAGTAAAATATATCTGGAAGAAAAATTAAAAAGACGGGACAATGACACGTGTGTCTAATACGGCAATTTTTTTTAATATAAGCAGACGTAATGACATAAGTACCCCTAAATGTAATAACGAAATTGTGAAGCAAAATAAGTATTCTCCTCCCATGTTTATGGCTAATTAGTTGCATAATATTCTATAACGTTCCCGATTAATATCGGTACATTAACTTATCTAATTAGTTGCATAATTTTAAATAACATTCCCAATTCATATCGAGTCATTAACCTAATCAGCCATCATTTTTTGAATTTTGGAAAAACATCAAAACCTTCCAAAGAAAAATGAAAAACTTGGTGACGTTTGAAAAAATGAAAAACTATGTGTCGATTGGTTCATAGGTTCAAAACTATAATTTATGATTTTAATTTTTAAAATTTAAATTTTTATGAGAGAAAAATACTGTAACGAACTAAGAACCATAATCCTAAACCAGCCAGAACCCTCCAAACAAACGGAACATAAAACAACAAACTCTAATCTTCAATGAACAGGAGCCTAATTAAGATTGCAACTTTATGATAATTAAAGAAGATTAAAAATTTGAAAAGTTAGATGATGTTCCTGTGCAAAAGGATATAAATGAAAAGACATTAAAATTAACGGTCAACTAGACTAATGTCTGACACTAAAGTTGATGAATAATTTTCTAAAACAAAACAAAAGGACAAATACAAATAGTGCAAAAGGAGGAATGATTATGAGACTACAATACTTATTACACTATTAATTTTAGTTCAAACGTTTGACTTTATTCAAGAAGAAACTTTGAAGAATGCCTAAAAAAAATAAAAATAAAAAGATACGGGTTTATGCCATAAATAATGGAGTTTCGGAATCGTGTCATGTAAATAGCTCAGTTAAAAATCAACAAAACATGGTAAACCCGAACGATAAAAAAAATTATGACGTAAATCTGGAAACATGTAAAAACTGTGACAGGGCACTTAATTTTCTTTTACTCAATCCCTCTTAAATAAATTTTAGTAAATATTACACAATATGATCTTTTTTCATGAATGAATTAAAATGTGACTTACCTTTTCAAATATCACATGAATAACTTCTTTAAAAAGATTACATTTTTTTAACACCCTAAAATACCCTTCGATTTATTTTACTGGGCGTTTTTTTGTTTATTTCCGGAATTTTCTCTAACAACTTGACTAAGGACTCGTTTAGTTCGCTGATTCGAGTTTTTAACTTGAGTTGAGATGTGACTTTATGTGAAAGTTTTTTACTGTAGCAAAAAAATTATATATAACTATTTCTGAGAGCTATTTTACTGTAATAAAACTCGAATTCTAAACTCGAATCAGTAAAATGAACGGAACCTCAATATTTTCTCATTCAAAGAAACAACCAACGATTATGTAATCTTGTATAAATAAAAGCAAATTAATATTCTAATTCAGAGCAACAAAAAAAAAAGAAGCAAATCTAATACGATTGTTTAAACTTTTTATATTGGTAAAAGAAATAGAACATAAATAATGATAACTGAAACCATCTCATAGTTCCATTAAATTATTTACTTTGTAATTATGTTACTAAAATAACAACAACAAATGGTGCACAAAGATACTAACATATCATTAAAATAAAACATCATTAATATAATGTCATATCAATTATAATGTAATAGAACAACCCATTTTAATATCAATTATAAAACATCAAAAGTTTTTGAGTCTCGTAAATGTTCAATGAAAGAACAAAATCAAAAGTAATTGTTACTACAAATCTATTTTTTTAGAAAATACAAAAAAATAGATAAACCAACGATTCTTCTCCAACAACTTAAACGAATATACAAATATTCAAATATAAAATAAAAAAATACAAATAGTTTGAATTCTAATATCCAAATATTTCCAATCCAAATATTTTCAATTCGGATTCTTCCCCAACAACTTGACCGAATATTCTAATTCAGAGAAAAAAAAAAAAAGCAAATGTAATACGAATGTTTAAACTTTTTATATTGGCAAGAGAAATAGATAAACCTTCATTAATTAAAAAAACATAAGTAATGATAATTGAAACCATCTGATAATGTCATTATTTTAATGAGCATGTATTTTAATGATATGATATAGTGTATCGTTACACAAAATAAATGAATCTCTTTGGTCACTTCTTTGATATTGGGAATTACAGTTGTGTTCATAATTGTCGTTTCCATAGGATTAACGAATGAAAAATCCTGCAAAAAAGATTTTGTAGTGGTAACTTTCAATACATTATTATAATGACATATCCATTAAATATCATAATGAATTAAAATTTTTGATACTCTAACATATATACCGGATCATTCATTCTCTTTATTTCATTCTCATTATTGATAGTACTTTCAGATAGAGTTATATCTTCCACAACAATTTAAATTCCTTTATTTTAGGATTTCATTTTTTTTAAACAGATAGATATCCCATGATTTGTGGGGAAAAAAAAAGTAGAGCAATATCTAAATTATGTAAAAAGTAACATCATTATAAAATCAATAATGTAATATTACATAATACTTTATTTAAATATCGTTATACAATTAGGCGATGTATGAGATATTCTCAAACATAAGCCATATTTCAATTATAGATTTGTAATTTGGCCACATGTCTAAATCACCCTAAATTTTATGGCTTCGTTTTGGACTTTTTTTTTTTTTTTTTTTTGCTACCAAATATGGACTTACAAGTTATTGTTTGTGTAAATATGACAATAACAATTACTATTAACAGACACGTCGTTTTAATTCGCATTGTTGTCGCATGAAACAATCCATCGCTTCACTCTCCACGCTTCCCATCTCTCACTTATTACCTCCAACATAAGAGAACGATCGGAAATTGTAAACAACAGTTTGTAAATAACCAATTTACTAATATAGAAATTAAGACAGAATGAGTGAAATAGCATAATTGTTAAGGTGATTAATAAATTATAACAATTTTTTAAAACATGTATTTTATAGCATAATTTAATATTTTAGGCTTTCAACAATATTAAAAACCTAATAATATCCCTAAACCATCTCTCTCATTCTCCCCTCTAGTTAAGTCTACCATGGCCGACGTTTGCACCGGTGACCGGTGGCCGACGAACGGTTTTTACCGTATTTTTCAATAAATGTCATATTTACTCGTTAATACCATATTTATTTAAAAATCTAGCAGCCAGTACTAGTGACTAGTAAATAATGTATTTATCGATAAATATCTTATTTACTCATAAATACTATATTTATTTGAAAATCCAGCTGCTAACACTGGCGGGCGGTAAATACCGTATTTATCAGTAAATATCATATTTATCTAAAAATTTAAAAAATTTAGCTACCGACACCAACGACCGGTAAATATCATGCTTACTTATAAATATCATATTTACTCGTAAATACCATATTTATCTAAAAATCTAGCCACTAGCGATTGGTATCACATATTGTGTTTATTCGTAAATCTGAATTTACTGTAAAATCTAAGATTTACTGATACTGAATTATATTAATGTTATTAATATAAAATAAATATTTTTTAATTCTGCTTGTAAATCTAAACTTTGTCGTATGGTAAATCTAGAATTTACCATCAGAACATAGATTGTGTTATTCGTAAATCTTTTACCATCCGAACACAATTTTTGTTTCTTCGTAAATCCTAAATTTACACAATAAATCTTAGAGATTTACATCATAACACATATTGTGTTTATTCGTTAATCTTGGATTTACAATATAGACAGTGAGGAGAAAGAGAGAGCGTGGAAAGAGAACAAAGTAAATTTTAGAATTAATTTCTTTTTTAAATTAAGAGCATTTTTAAAATGTTAATCTAATGTAAATCCAAATTTGCACCTATTAAACTTATTTACTAACTAATTATAAACCTTGACCCATTTGTTTTTATTGCTTATTTAATGGAGCCTATTTCCCTCAATCTCTCGAGATTAATTACTCTTCTAAAGTCAAATTGTGCGATTGACCAGAAATCTATTAAAAAAAAAAAAAAAGTGGCTTCTTAACTCGCAACCCATTCTCAAATTGTGCGACATGTCGTTTCGCATCGTTAAACCTTCAGACTCAATCTAAGCAACAATTTGTCACAGTTGTTATATAAACAGCTGCTATTAGTCAATTTATCTCCTTGAGTTATATTAACAATCTCAACGTCACTTTTGAGAGTTGCTACAAACCTTGCATCTCCATCACCTCCATCCTAAGCACGGGCATTGTCTTCACATCTGTAACCGGCAAAATCACCGCCTAAGATGGCTTTGGCAAACCAATCCAGTTCAAAGACAGTCATGCTGTGTACCACTCTCTTAATAGGGCTAGTGTCAAAAGTTGCCTCGCTCCTGATGCCAAATCCGCCATCTCGGGTTTTACTCGGCACCCAAAAGGCAATGCGGCCTCCTCAAGCTGCTGTTGCAGCCGCCCACCATGGCTATAGTCGCCCCTTCTATCCTCTGTGAGATGCAAAATTTTTCCTTTTTCAGATGGGTCTGATTCTGGGCAATGCATGAAATCATGCATTTGTGGCTTCGCTTAACAGTACTCCTAAATGCACCAGTAAATTGTCAGGCTCGAGTAAACTCTAACTAAATGTTTCATGTTCTATTGGTTTCTTCTCGATTATATTAGGTCATCTATCCTAGTCATCTGGTATTTTCTCCCATTGTTGACACATTTTTTTATTTACATTAGATCACCTCTGAATCCTGTAAGCTTACAAACCAAACATGAGACAAATTTCATAGCATAAATAACAGAATGAATTTTACTCGACCATAGTAAATGCAAAACATATGGGGGTGAAGAAGCATCCTTCACAATATAACAGGCATTGCACTGCAAATTTGACTGATTTTACTATATAATTTCAGTAACAAGAAATTTGTGGATTCTATGTGCATCTTTGGTGTTAGCTGTTGCACATGGCAAGAAGAGAAAAAAAAAAAAAAAAGTGCAGATAATGCCATAAATTGTACCCTTTGAAAATACAAGCAATCTCTGCAACCATGTATAATAAATAGCCAAAGCTCTGTTCAGCGCTTGAAGAACACTAAATCTCTACTACATTTGGCTTTGATAGCATCCTCCAGTTTCTCAACACAGTCAAAATCAGCTTTAAAATGAACCGTTGTTGTACCGTCTTTTCCAGTCTCATAATCTTGCTTGATATCTTCAACTTGAAAAGATTGTAGCTGGGAACATAATCAGAAATGAAACACTAATTCTGACAATGTCAATTCAACAAGGAGAAGTATAATTATGGATCTGTAAAAGGTTACCTGATGATATAAAGCTCCTAAAAGATCAAATGGAACCTCCACACCCATTGGAACCTGCAATCCATCGTTTGAAATAAAAACATTCTTCAAAAATGAAATAAAAGAATAAATGTAAACCCAAATGGATTTTTTTTTTTCGAGTACTTGAAAATCATCAAAACAAGTTAATCTTATTTTTATCTGATCTAGCAATATCTATGCTTAATGTTAATACCTTTGATTTGATAAGACAAGTTGGGGAATTTCTCAAGCATTCAGAGGCAACTCCTCCATAAGCTCTCACTAGCCCACCAGTACCTAATTTGATACCTCCAAAATACCTTCAAAACAATCAATTGTGTTATGCAAAATTCACAAAAGCAAATTGTTTCTCAAAGAATTTGTCATAAGCGTCTCAACAGAATGTAAAAAACCTGATGACAACCACCATAACTCTGTCGATTCCCGAGGAAACAATCGCAGAATGTATTGGCTTCCCAGCTGTCCCCGACGGTTCGCCGTCGTCATTCGACCGATATTGATCTCCGACCTGAGTTTTTTTTTTTTTTTTTCAATCATCAAAAGAAATTATACAAACCGAACAGAGGATGTGAAATGAAAACCCTAATTGAGATTGACCCAACCGACCATGTAAGCCCAACAATTGTGAGTAGCTCGCGGATCTCGCACCTGGTATCATCGAAGACAAATTAAACAAAAAGAACGGAGATTTATTCGAATATATACGCGTGTGTGTGTGTGTGTGTGTAGAGAGAGAGAGAGAGGTAGTACCTGAGAGAGGAAGGAGAAGGCGGATTGTTCATCGGAGATGGGGCCAGCGATGGCGATGAATTTGCTCTTCTTGATTTCCTTTTCGAAAGTCACTCTCTCCTTGATCGTCGTGAAGGCGCCGCCGCCAGTATTGCTGCTAGTGGCGGTGGTGGCCATCATGGCGGTGGTGGTGGCGGCGGCGGAGTTGAAGGCAATCGTACGACGGTTAGAGGTAAAGAGGAGGAGTTTGCGGCAGTGGTGATGGGAACAACTGGGTATTGCTGTTATTGCCACCGGCATGGCTTGCTTTGGGCTTTGTTGTTGGCTCCTAGTTCCCACCCACTTTCCGTTTTCTTGTATTTAGGCGCAATGACTTTACAGATTGCAACGATGTCGTCTTGAAGAACAGAAGGCGGATTGTTTGTCGGAGTCGGGGCGAGTTGAGAAAATAAACGATCCAATAAATTTATTGAATTAATTTCAAAAAAGTATCCTTAAATAACCATGGTAAGACTTTATCCTTAAATTTTAAAAAGTAATATATGTTCCCTCCAAATTTTATTCTGTTAACAAGTTTTCTCATTCCGTTATAATAAGTATCGAAATTCGTTACGTGTCAGGCACATGACTCATCTAAGGAGGATATTATTATAAATTCACCTGTAATAACCCTTCCAAGCGTTAAAAAAAGAAAACTCAGATCTTGAATAACATAAAGATCAAAAAAAGAAAAGGAAGAACAATGAATTCAAGACGGAATCATCGGAGTTGAAAGGCTCCAGACAGATACTGCAAAAGTCTTCTTCGAAGTTGTCGTCGGAAGGAAGTAGCGATTGCGATGAAGACGAAGACGATCATAAGATCGCCATTGAATTCTTTGCATAACCAGAAAAAGACGAAGACGAAGAAGAACCGAAAGCCGCCATTGAAGAGTGAAAGTGAAGGAGTGATATGCAATGTTGAAGAGAGAGAGAGAGATAGTTTATGGAAGAGAGAAGAAGTAGAAGGGAGGTGAAGAAGAAATGAACCCTAGAAAAAGTGGTAGAGCGGGAAAGAGAAAGTGAAGATGATGATCAAAGAAAATATGGTGAATTTTTTTAATAAAAATGAAAAATTATCTGATTATGAAAGTATAAGCGTAATTGCGCTTTCAATTCTCACTAAATAAGTGACACGTGGTAATTCCGTCACTTATTATAATAGAAGGAGAACACTTGTTAACGGAATAAAATTTGAGGAGAATAAATGTTATTTTTTAAAATTTAAGAAGCAAAATATTTAAAGGGTCATAGTTCAGAGAGAATTTATAAGTTACTGTCATTTTAAAGTATAAGGCAACATGTCGTTTAAATCATAAACGCCATGTCTTTCTACTACATAACGACAATGTTTTTGTGACAAAGGACTTGTCGTATATCTAATTAAACGACGACAAAGTTTTGTCTTCTCAAGGAAAAGAGAGTACATTAATGATATGTCGTTTCCGAAATTAACCGATTTTGCAACATAATTGACGACAGATTTTATAAAACCCTATATATCAGTAGAGTTTAACAAATTGACAATGAAGCAAAAGGAGAAAGTGATAGCTAATAGCTATGGTTGCTATTACCATTACCCACATCAATGACGTTTATTATCAATATATGTATATGTATATAGACATTCGTTAAGGGCACAATAATTTTAAAGTTCCTACCATGAAAATGCCCTTGACAGAAAAAGATGAATTGTTTTCTAAATTTAGGCTTTTTCCTTAAATATGGACCCACCATTTGACCAATCATTCATTAATGTCTCCATTCAACTATACTCAGCTTTGTTTTCACACTTTTTTTTTTTCGTATGCATACTATTCTAGATCCATAAATGCTCTCTACCCATGACATTACTTTGTTGTGCTATATTATTATTATTATTCTAGAAAATCTGGACATTGTTTTTTAAACCTTCTCATTGGATTGATGAGGGTTTATTGCCCGGCTTTGCTTGAGTTTTTTTCTTTTATTTATTTATTGTTTTTTAAGTTGAGAACTTGAAGAAGGATTTACTTGCGGCAGTTAGAGTACAATCAATTTTTCATCTAATGTCAATAAAAAGTCCAGTTATACACACGTGTCAAATTCACAACTAGAGTCAATTTTTCATGAACACTACTTTTACCCAAGAAATTTTGTTGGCGTGGACCGTGGACATAAATATCAAAGAACAGTCCACTAATTTAATCCCAATTGTAAGTAGGAAACTATAATAAAGTGCAACGTATACATATGATAAAAATTTTCCTTGATTCTATTTCCTTATGGCCTCGCACTTTTTAGTAGCACTTTTTAGATATTAAGACCATCTCTCATACAAATATTAAAATTAATTATATATTTAATATAAAAAAATATGATATGATATGTTATTAATATATAGTGTTATTTGAAATTTTACTCAGGAAATTAATATATAAACATTTCAACTAATAATAATCAAATGTTAAATTTTTCATATGTTATACTTGATTAGAAATTTTCTACGAGTTATAGTATATAGGAAATTTGGCACAATAAATACCATTACATTAGAGAGGTTTTTTTTTTTATATTCAAATGCTAAATTTACAGGCAAGTAACTCTCCATCACGTTACTAATTTTCTATAAACATTTTCTGATATAGCGAAATTTTCTTCTGAATATTAATCCAAAACCTACACAGACCTTTGTTTCTATTTGTTGATGGAGAATTTCTTTAAAAAGCTATTGTTTTTCTCGAAGGAGACTTTTCTTTTGAGAATCAATGTATAGAATTAATGCTTCTAAACTGATGTTTTGACTTAGGTAGGATAGTTTTGACTTATGAATATGATGTTTAGCAAGATTAAGGGCAACCGCTTGTCGATCTTTCAGGAATTTGATTATTTTATAACATGGGTTTTTAGAGCAGTTTAATTAATTAAAATAGAATATTGAATAAGATAGAATAATATTGTAACGATCTGAAGAATTAAACAAGTTTAATTAAGATAATTAAGATTTATTAGTGTGTCTAATATGGTTTAATAAATTAATTATTGATTAATAAATGTTTCTAACAAGTAAATTTAAATAATTCCAATGTATTTAAATATTATCAGTATTTACATTTTACCCAGAAGTGTGTATGAGCACATTTCTAGACTGTCATTTTAAGTTGTGACACATGTCCTTTTTTCTTTTCTTTTCTTTTCTTCATTTCCTTTTCCTTTCCGTGCACCTCACTCTCTCTCTCTTCACTCTCGTTCTTACTCTCTCATTCTCTCACCTCACTCTCTCTCTCTTCACTCTCGTTCTTACTCTCTCATTCTCTCTCATTTTCTCTCGTAAATCAACTGGATTTTGAACCAAAGAATAATTTCAATAAGTTTTCAATGCCAAGAGAAGACTTCAAGATAAGATTTCTGAAAAACCTCTCTTGATTCTTGAATTTTCAGATTTAGAAACTTATTTTTGGTTCGAAATGAATTTTGAGTAAAACTATAGTAGAAATTGGAGATATTGGGTTCTTTGGACTTGATTTAGTACTTAGAACCCAGATTTAGTAATTTTCCTTTGAGATATCTCGATTTGGACTCAGATTTGCAGGTTTTTAGGCTGATTTTACGGGTTTTCCTCTCCCTACTGTTCTTCACAGGTCGACCTGTGCGGTCGATCGGACTACACTGAGTCCACCGGTCGACCTATGCGGTCGACCGAATTGCACACCACCGGTCGACTGGTGGTGTTGCACTACTCTATCATCGGTCGATCGGTGTACATTGGGTTTAACCCTGTTTTGTTGTGAAACCCTGTTTTGACCTCGGTTTTCAAGGAGAACCCAAATTAGCTTTATTTGGGGACCTAGAGTGAATGGATTAGCTTCTTTAATCCATGTTTTGAGTTTGAAAACCCTTGAAATGATGATTTGAAACATCAATTGGTTTATGAAACTTAAAAATTGATTAAGGCACACTAATAGGAAATCAAATGGTATAATTGAGATTGAAATTGCTATAGGAACGAGAATTGGATCCTAAAGTGTTGTTTTGTATCAGTGCTAGCTGAGGACTCGGATTGAGAGGCTTTGAGGAAGAGAAAGCCAGAATAGAGCAACACTAGCCACATGTTTGATATTTACAAGGTAGGATTTCTTACCCTTTCCTTTGTGAGCCTGTTTTCAAAAGAATTTTGGCCTTGCAAATGTTTTAAAGAAAGGGCATGTTTGCAAAAGAAAAACATTTTAACCCCCATGACTTGTTGCAGTTCTGGGGAGTATAATGAACTGTTTCATAAAGTTTAATGAATGATTTCTTAAGATAAAAGATCTTACAAATCGGTAAACCGGCTGATGGCCTAGATAGGATGTGGAGAGTGCATCCTTGGGGACAGGATCCGAAACTCGGCCCGGGTGATATGGCTTGTGCATGTGGTTGTGTAAGTAATTTAACTGATGCATGTAATACGGAGATTTTCAGTTATATTTCCTTTGAGAAAAAGGATGTGAAGTTCCAGCTGTTGTGTTAGAACTGAATGTCTACATTTATTCATTTACTTATTTATTTATTTACTTATTTATAAAGTTATTTCAAAATATATCCTACTGGGCTTTTCACTCACGTTTTATTGTTTTATAAATGTTAAACCCCTCCCATGCAATTCTGGAAGCAGTGCGGAGTAGCTAAGTTGCTACCACCTGATTAGGAGAGGATTGTGATCATCCTCCCTGTGTACGAATGTAAGAATTTATAAATTCTTTAAACTCTTATATTTGGATTTCTAGACTGTGGTTGATGTCTGTAATGTTATTTACATGTTCATGTATGTACCATACTGCATATCTTGTGGGTGAAGTCCTGAACGATGTTAGAGGCTTAGTTATAAACCTCTTGTATTCAGTCAATTTATTTTCAACGAAATGTGGGGCTCGTTTAGAAATTTTCTTAATATTTCATTCTTAATCGTATTTAACTCCTAATCGAGTCTCCATGTCACCGACCCCTACCCAGAGGGTGACAAATATGCACGAGTTGGTCCCGTGTTTGTAGGTGAATATATGGTTATGGTCAAATTGTAAATTGATACTATGGTGATTATGCAGTTTTATGGTCCAATTATGTTATCCAAGATTAGCTGACGGAGACTAATTTAGAGTGAGGTAGAGAGAGAAATCAGTAAAAGTGTAGACTTTGAAAGTGTCGTGTTTGGAAACGGAGACAATGCTCATGTATGCATGATGTAACATAGAAGATCCACTAAATTCCATTCGCTGAAAGAGACTTTTTTTTTTTTTTTTCAATCTCAAAAGAGACTTTTTTTTTTTTTTTTCAATCTCACAGTGAGAAGAAATATTTGGATTCATAATATTCTCCAACACAATGAACCCCTATAAAAAGATTAATGCGGTACTGGTTTTTATTCAGAGACTTTCCAAGTTAAGTTTCGTTACTAGATCGCAGACTAGCCAACAATGGCGGGCTTACCAATTAAAAGGCTGACAGAGAGCGACGTAAATAGCAGACTCTCAGTTCCTAAGGAATGGTGGGATGTAATTAGGCCACTTTTCGGCGAAGAAGACCGCCGCCGCGAGATCGAGGTTTGGGCAGTCGACGGCGTGGGGATGTTCTGGGAGTTCCGGTGCGCCGTCCGACAGAAAGGGCCTTACAAGAAGCCAGTTCTTCAGTCTGAAGGCTGGCTCAAGTTTGTCAACTACAAAAGACTCAGAGCTGGGGACGTGGTCATTCTTGAGACAGTTGAGAACCAATTCCGAGGTACGAGGTTTCTGCTCAGAGCTCTCAAGTGTCATGCTGATGGTCACTGGTTTGATGTGTAGCTAGCCATTAATTTTAGTTGTGTTCAGAGCGGCCAGCTTTGATAGATTTCTTTCTTTTTCTTTTTTTTTTTTAAGGGTTTTGCCTAAGTTGTTATTCTCTCTCCTTTGAGAATGTTTTTCTAGTCGAATATACTGAAAGTAATAACCGTGCTGTTTTAGGTTCCATAATCTTCTTTTGATTATCTAATGTTGAATAGGGTCGGTTTGAATTTGGTCAATTAAATAGGTACAAGGATTTGGATCCATCTGCGCTTGCTCTACAAGATTTTGCCCATAATAAATGCAATGTGCTTGTTCATAAAATGGGTTGTTGTTTTCATAAAGCCTTAATCCATTCATTCCAAAATTTTGCGCCGGTTTCATTTTTAACTTAATTATGTATATATCTATTGTGCAGTAGAGAGATAATGAATTCCATAAGTTATATTATTTGCATTTAACTTTACATTTTATTACAACTTATATACCGCATCAATTAAAATTCTAAAATATTCTAAAATTCTAAAATACATTAAAAAAAAAAATAGAGGCGACATGTAATTCTTATCATAAACAATCAAAATTCTAAAATATGGAAACAACGTGTCATGAATACATAAAAAAAAAATAAAAATAAATAAAAAAAAGAAGCAAAATTTTGTGGAAAATGACGTGTAGTTTATTCTACAATCTGGCAAATTTACTACAGAAACTGCCTTGTCGTTTTTATATTTAAACGACAAAAACTTCCATAAGACGTACGATATCCTGTTTTGTAATATCTCACAACAACAAAATTTTAAGAACCAAAACGGCAGGAGAGTCCTTGATGTAAAAAACGCCAATCTTTCAATTTTTGAATGATACAAATTTAAAACTAGTGTCTGTAGTTTATTTGACAATGCTAGCAAACATTGAACAAAAAATTAAAAAATGTTACGTCGTTTATGAGACAAAACGACCAAAAGCTTCTGTAAGATGTAAGGTATGTCGTTTTGTACCCTCATAAAACGACAGTGATATTTAACATTTTGTTGTCGCTAACGGCGGAAAGGGTTTCATTGAACCAACACCAATCTTTACATTTTTATATTAAATTTTAATGGATGGCGCCGTGAAATACAACAAAGTGTCTGGCCCTTTTCCAAGTCAAACGACATGAAGCTGTAAAAATAAAAAACTACGTGTCGTTTGTTAGTGCTCTATGAGAAATAAAAGCTCATCCGAAAAGGGGAGTAAAAATGGGACGAACAAACAACTGCAGATTGCAGCAAATGAACGACTGCAACCTTTCGTCGTTTCATCGTTCCACCGCTTCAACCTGCCAATCGCCTCTTTGAAATCTCTCAAGTCTCGATTTTGCAGAAACAACTAGGTAAAGTTTTCTGGTGTTTCGTTTTCTGTTTCTATAAGATTTTTTTTCTTTTTGGGGTCCATTTTATTTTTGTTTTTGATATTTGATGTTCCTGATTTAGAGCAGAAGTAGGAGAATCACATCAAAACGAAGGATGGTTGAGGAGGTAATGGAAGGAGTAGCTTCAATAGCACTTTTGCCATGTGGATCCATTTCTGGCCATTTCATTCAACTCCCTCATTCCATTTGCTATGGCCTTCAAGCCACTGGTACTATTACTACTTCCTTATAACCTTAATTCTACGAATATGTCATTGCTATTACTTGCTCTTTAATCCCATTTTTTAGGGTCGATATCCGGTTAAAAAATGGATGCATAATTTTCTCATTTTTTTCGTAAGTGGGGGTTTTTGTTTTTTTTTTTTAATTTATTGTAAAGGGTGTGTTTTTAACTGATGAATTTGTGATTCTAGCTCCCTAGATACTTGGGGGTTTTGATTTTTTTTTTTTTTTTTTTTTACTTTCATTGGTGTCAGAATTGGCATGTGAAAGGGAATGTAGCAGGGGTGAGGATTACCGTCTGATCAAGCTCACCATCATAGACTACAATGTATGAACCTTGCATTATCACCATTCTTTTGTGTTTCCTCAAAATTAAAGTGTGTTGTGTCTCATGACTCTTTTTTGGTTACCCTTTTTATCCTATATATTACAACAGAGAAAGAAAGAACGAGATGTTATTTTGGAGCGCAGAGGCCATGATGCTGCTAGGTTGCGCACCATTGATCATGCTCATGGGTGAGCCATCTTGGAACACCATTTTGACTCTGAAAATTATAAGTGTTTTGGTGAACAATTATCGATCAACAAATGAGTTTCGTCTACATGACATGCTTTTTATCTTGTGTTTTGAAATGCTTTTTCTGGTCAGTTGGGAAAAGGACGTCGTTAGCATGGTTGAGGAGAAACATGGGAAGAACAAGATAATGATTTCTTTCGACTGCGAGACGCTGAAAGCTGAGAAAGCGGCCGAAGATCATATCAAACACTTCATGCCCAAATTAGCTGGCCTTGATGCTGTTGGTATGTAAAGCGGTTGCTTTTGCTACTTTTATTTCTCATAGAAGAATAAAACAAAAAACAAAGTCTGGGTTTGGTGATTGTGTTCTCACGGATAACAGAATGGAAATTATATCTAGCTAATACCCGTTGTTGAGAATAGAACTCTGGAAATGGTCATCATCATATAGAAAATAATACAGAATTTTAAAAGGGAAAATTATTTGTTTAGCTGGTCTTAATTCTAAAATGTTTGCTTCGTAATCCTCTTTAAGTCTAGAGGTTGATTTTAAATGAGATTCTTTGTGCATTTTCTTGTATCTTGGTTATTCCTTGTCCAATTTTCTTTTGATAAGTTGGTTATTCCATTTGGACTTGTTCTTTCTTTGTAGAAAAGAGTGTGCTCAACACGTGGCTCCTGGATTTCGTTCTTTAGTTTAATCTTCAAATGGAATTGGCTCATAATTGCTAAAAATTGTTTTCTAGTTGATTAACTTTGATACACTCAAATTTTTACTTGAAAAGTCATTACAGTTGCAAATTACACTCTATTTATTACTCTCTTTTATGCATGTTTACACGCTTGAAATCTTACTATTTTGTATACATTTCACTTCTTCCTCTTTTTTTCCGTGTGAATGTACAATTATGATGCAATCCGATCTCGACAATTTCATGGTTTTGAAATGAGTTATTTGACCATTAACCGAATATCTCAATTTGTGCAGTAAACATTGGCCGTATGACCATAGCAGGATTGGATTTTGAGGCAGAGGAAGTTGATGGAAACCAGAATAGACCTGATAATATATAACGCGTTCTGTTTACCTTATTCTGTATAGTACAACCTTTTTCTTTAGTCCTTAAAGGATGCAATCTCTACGCCCAAACATGCATGTCAAATGACATAGCTTTCATAAACAATCAAGACATGTCTGTTTGCTTCATATTTCACCAAATTCTATCCTTAAAAAGGTTATCTATTATGTCCATGTTTTCCCAATATTATCTTCCAAAACGAACAGGGTAATTCTCAATTAACTTTATGTTCGTCCAAAAAGTTAAGGTTGTCCAATGGCGTCAATAGAATTTTAAAGCTTTGATGGCATGACCATTCTAGACAGAGGGAAACAGGGGAGAATATACAGAATGATATCATTCTATTAACTTCCATTAATATCAGACAAATTAAAAGAAGGATATACATCCTATTCTACCATGCAATTCAAATGACTATTTGATGCAAATCACCTAATGAATGGGATGAATGTAAATAGAAAATATAGGGCGCCAACAAAGCCACAGAATACTGATGAATGATCACAGACAAGTGAAATATTGATTATTGCACAAATCAATTCGACATCCACGTACATATTATACATGTCATACGTCAATGATAATTCTTGGTCACAACCTTTTTTCATGAAAAGGACAACACAAAATGTAACGGTCAGCAGCATCTCCAAAACCCTTCAACTCGAAAATATGGCCAGGACAGACTGGGAGTCGAAATCACGGATCAAAGTTATATGGTTAAATATGCCAAGGGGAAGTCCGCTCCAATCCCATGTCTGACCATCAACTTCCGCATCAAATAACAAAAAATCTGGTAAAGGCAACAAAGGCAAGGAAAACTACGTTAATCACTAGATGAATGAAATTCAAACTATATGGTCGACCTAACACGTTCAACTAAAGGTAAATAATAAATATCCATAGGAATGAGACTGCTTTTGCTGTATCTCCAAAAGCGGATGGTTATTTTCTCAAACTAAAGAGCAGATACAGGCTTCACTCCAGTTTACTGACAACTTGGTTTCATAAATCTGCCATCTAAATATCACTTTAACAAGCTCTGTAGACTTAACTTTGCTTCACTCAGAAATACAAGATTTTTGTGATGAGGGTATACCTGCTTTTCATCAACCGTCACTCCCCCTCAGATGCCTCTTCTGAATCAGACAGAGGCAAAAGCGTGCAGATCCCAAGCATATGTCCGTTGAGGCAAACAAAATACTCGATACAATCCTCGTAAGCACCCAATCTAACACTAGCACTCTGTGGTATCATTTTGGCTTGCAACATGCTCCACAACTTAGCCTTACAATAAGGGCACACCTCCTTCGGATGAAGCTGAGCCTCCCTCTTAATCAGCATTTTCCGCACCTTCGATGTTGAGAATGACTTGAAAACTCCTCGGAAAAATCCCACATCACCATCATCTCCTTGGTCAAGATGTTCACAAGGGTCACAAACATACAAAACATCTGTTCTACATTGCGGCAATAGAAAGCTCTTTCCTGATGTCCTGGAGAATCGAGTCCTATAAACAAAGTGACCAGGAATTTGAACGTTATTAAACAGGCCGCCTTTCTGACATCCTGAACAGTATATGAGCAGCTTTCCCAGTGCCCTCCAGTTCCCATCAACATTGTGACTTCCACAAGACTGCAGATCACGCATCATTTTTGGTGCTCTTGTACGACAAAATTCCTTCCATAGCACTCGCTTCGCAAGATCATCAAACCATTTGCATACACAGGAAAGTGCAGCAATCAACTTAGGGTTCCAATTCAACTGTTGAAATACTAGGAATATCACTTCTTCACTCAGATGCCCCTTTGTGCATTGGCAGCTTGACGAGTGTATGCAACGATACTGCTTGGTCAGAATCATCGTTTCAACCTGGCAAGACAGAAAGATGCACCAATTTAAAAGAAAAAAAAAAAATCCTTTGTACATGCTAAATGAAAAAGAGGAAACATTCTCAGGTTCGTAGTTAGCATCATAACAACAACACTAGTGATCAAGTTTGCAACCAAAATAATAGTCTGACGTAACTTCCTTTTTATCAGGACGGTGGCATATCCATATAATCTTGGGAGGCCAGTGCATTCCCCTTCAGTATATGGATCCCTCAAGAAATGGATTGCCCATATAACCCATCTACCACATCGGACTAACTCGAACCCAAGACTTATCAAGGAGAACAAGAAGCCTTGCCACCCTAGAAAATGACCGCTTGTAATAATATGATGTAGTTTTGAAAGTTAAAGCAACTGAACTACTTAAGTCATAGTTTTGAGAATTGCAGATACCACCCAGATAACCACAACACAAAACTACAAACCTCATCTGATCGGACGCTAATAATAGTTCATTACAATGAAACCCAACTAAAAAACATACACAAATTTATAGTTCCTACCAAGTAAGACTACAAAGTGCTATCCATAGTTTGGCATTAGAGCTCGAACAAATGAAGTCCCAAAACAAGTTTTTCACTCTAAATCTAGTTCATTCACACAAAAAGGTGCACTCTTTTAGCCTATTCATCACTTCCAAAATCTCAGATCCACAAAGTCTCCACAACAAAATTCAGAGCTTTTCAAACAAAATCTACCGAAACTTCAAGAAACTAGTTAAACCACACTAGAACTCTAACATTAAATCTTCACCTGATTGCACAAGACCAGTAAGAGAAATGAAGAATTGGCGAAACCCTAGCCCATTTCAAACCCAACCAAACGCCCGCCAAAGGCACTGAGAAGTGCGTACTCGATCGTAATTTTCTCGAAGTTGAAGCCCAATTTCCAACCTCAGATCAAGATCAGGATTCCCAACTTCCGCGAATCACCGAAACCCAAGGAAACCCAACTCTGCAAGACGGGAAAACAGCAGATTTAGGGTTTTTGCAAGAACCAGAAAGGGCAAAACGAAAACCCAAGAAAAGCCCAGTAATTTACACCTCGGACGCAAGAAACATCTGGAGCTTTCGCTTCCCCACAGGAGCAATTTCGTCCAGAGAAAAATACGCGCTCACAGAGATAGAATAACGCTGGTAAAACCAAACGCAGAGAGAGAGAGAGAGAAGAAGGAATGGCTTTGGCTTTGGCTTTGGTTTTGGTCTTTGCTTTGCGCTCCATATAGAAGAAGAAAAATGTAATAACATTATTATATTGGTCGCAATGTTTACAGCGACAAGTGGATGGAGAAACAACCAGTTGTAATGCGCCACGTGTCGAAAGAGCTTAGCTGGCGTGTTTCAGGCATTCGTTGTGGGGACCATATTGTCTTATCTGTCGTACAGGTTGAGGAAAAAGACAAGCTGAGTCGGTTGAGTATCGCCCTTAGTTTTTTTTACTGCGAATCGGAGCTTGAGGAGTATATTTCACAGGGTACTGGAAAAGATTCTATTGGTATAGTAATTCTCCGCTTGCCACGTGTTTGCTTATTATTCTTAATCACTGTTCCTTTGTTGGTGATTATAATGCAATTAGCATGCGGCTTCATTGTAAAGATTTGATGTCCCAGACTATCTTTTGAAAATTTTGACGCTTCATAAGTTGTTTAAGTACTTTTGAGTGAGATTATTAATTTTGGATTACATTACAAATAAATAGTGGGACAAATAAGGACAATAAATTCAAACTAGCCGCCTCTTTCAACTTGTTAAAGAATGATTAATTAACAAAAATTGTGTTTATGTCTGTCTCTTTTAAGCTTAACACGGCTCTATAAGAAGGAAAAATGTTCTATTTTATCTATGTTAGAACATCTCTAAATGAACTCTTTAAATTTTAACTAAATTCTAATTAAAATTACTAAAATATTATTTTAGTTAGTAATTTTTAGTAAGTTACTCTAATCATACTCTCTATTTTAAATTATTTTAATATATTTTTTAGTTTAAAATATAAATAACTTTTTTTTTTAACTTTTACTTTTACATCAAAACAAAAAATAAAATAACAAAAAGAATAATAGCTAACCACTTCTTGTTAGCTATATTTAGTTAGTAAAATATGCTTTTGTCAAAATAACTAACCACTTAGTTAACGGTTAGAGTGAAAAAAAAAAAAACTAAATCATTAATTATTTTAGTTAAAAACAAGAAATGACTAACATAATCTGACTTATTTTTAGGTGTTAATGTATTTGGTTAGGTGGGAAGGTTAAATAAGAAATGATCCATTAATTGGTTGGAGATTAGAGAGACGAGAGATGAAAAGGTGAGTTTCTGGAGTGCAAATTTCTCAACAAACTGTTTTACCCTTCTAACAAAATATCAAAAGCTGGTAAATTAAATAATATAGTAATCATACAAATTGTCACTGATATTATAGCGATGTAATTTCATATCATAATCACAACAAAATCTAACAGTATGAAAGTTTACTGGTCCAATTGAATTTTTGTATTATAGGAAAAAAATACTATATATATATATATATAGTATTTTTTTCCCTTAATTCAATCACAGAATTCCTTTTGTATTAGAAAATCTTTATGACGGAGAATGCTATTTTACTCTATCAATAGGAACTGTTGTATTTAACTGTTAAATTAACTTTTTAACGATCAATTTACACATGTTTTGCATTAAAAATTTACAGCACAGATACAAAATTACTCCTATTGTAGAGCAAATCGCTAAAAAATTGATCCAACCGTAAACACAATTCTTATCGGTGGAATAAAATAGTATTTCTCCACCGTAAATGCATCATTTGTATTAGGAAGAAAAAGACACAAAGTCATGCCATTTATGAGTAAACTGCAGCAGCGACTATTGCTACTAGTCCTCACAAAACGTAAAATAGCCAACTCAGATATCGACTTAAGCCTCCTTCGTTTTGAGAATTTAAGTTTTCAATTTGAGTTGAGATATGACATTTTTTGAGAATTTTTAATTATAATAAACAGTTAGATGTGATATTTTCTGAAAATTTTTAACTGTAAAAACTTAAAACTGAAAACTCGATTATTAAGTAATTTCAAACAAATTTTAGTTCCAAGCCAAAGAAAATAAAAACAAATAAACAAAACCAAAAAAAGAATTAGTTTGATGTATCTTGATAAGCACGTTTTTCAGTTACTTTTGATTCCTCCGGTTGATGTTCAAAAACTTGCCATTTGCCACAAGAGTCAGACACCAAAAGACATGCATAGAGAAAGCGAAAGACAGCTAAATACGAAATTAGTCAGCCGAACCAAACATACAGTACTAGAATGTTTTTAAGAGGTAACATCAGTCAATGTACTAAAAAAAGGGAAATAAGAAAGCTACATCCACCAAATTACAAACCCCAAAAGTTAAAGAGTCATTGTCACTTGTATCAAAAGAAATAAGAAAGATATTACAAGTAGTCAAATATAGTTTAAAAAAAAAAAGAAGTCAAATATAGTTTAAAAAATTTCATCTCCCTTTCCTTTATGAGTTTACCCTTCTTTATTCACTGAATCAAATTATCAAAACCATATGAGGAAATCAAACTCGGAAGATAAAGGTAAGAAAAGCATACCGTCCAGAGAATTGTGTGTGAAGAAGTCAACCAAACCAATCTACCTTTACATTTTTCCCAATGGCCAAAAGCTTGTAGAATACTAAAAAATTTTCCCTTGCAAGCTTTATGTATTTATTTATTTCTGACTGCTTTATGAGGGTAAAAAAAAAAAAAAAAGTTTATAGTTTTTGTGTTAATCAAACGAAGACTCTTTTCCACTTAATTGACTTGTGTTTGCAGCAGAAGGTTTGTTGTCTTGAAGCGAGATCACCGTTTCAAAAGCACCAACCAAGGCCTTAACCTTGCTCTTCCGGGTTTCGACGAGCTTACTCGCTGTTTCTTCAATCACATTGTTGAACAAACCCTGAGCGTCTTTCTTCCCCTGCACATCTTGATGTTTCAAAACGACTTTCTCTGCACTGGTTTCAGTACAATCGTCGACAATTTCCTCTCTTGTCTTATATCTTCTCCTCTGGGCATCGGCATCGACATCTTGGTTATCCAACACTCTCCCTCTCCTGAACTTGAGCCTCCTCGCAGCGTTATTCTCTAGTTGCATCTCCACCACCTTTCCCCTCCTGAACTTCAATCTCATTGCTTTCTCATCCTCATCTTCGGCATAATCCAAGCCAGGCCTTTTGTGCATCTTGTTATTCATGTCCAGCATCTCCAAGTTATCCACACTTTCTGCATCACTGTTCTCTGAGTAAGTGTAGTCTTCCGATTCACTTATTGTGTATTCAGAGTCCTGTTGATCTTCCTCCTCTTCAACCCGTGAAGAGGATAGAAGGTCCGGAGAGGAGGAAGGCTCAGGTGATAATGACAACGGATGTGGCAGAAAGTCTACTTCCGTTGCATGAGTTTCATTCTGATCTGATTCTAATATATTGTTTTCAGTTTCCATCTCCATGACATATTCCTCTTCCTTAGCACAGGTTTCGTTCTGAGGTAACTCCAAGGTATTGTTTTCATTTTCCATCTTGATGACATACAAGGTCTTTTCCTGGAAACCATCATTCTCAGGTTCTGCAGCTTCAGAACTTCTGACCTCGTTATTACTCTTAAGAGGAGGCGCAACTTTCTTCAAGCTACGGTTCTTCATACTTGCGCTTGCAACTTTACCCTGCGAGGGTTTAGAGGACAATGAAGCTGCCGGGGATGCTTGCACTTTCTTTAGAGCCACTTGGGAGGTCCCCGTCGTCTTGCCTATCTTCATGTCACCACGTCCATTTAACCTTCCCACAGATTCCCCTAAAGACTTTGGCTTCCCCGTAGCAGGTTTCAGCTTCAGAGAACTTGAATTTGTGCTAGAAGAGTTTTTCAGCTTAGGTTCTGTCAAACCTTTCTTCAAAGAGACTTCCTGCTTTCCAGTAGAACCTGACACTTTCTGCTTTATGGATTTCGGGGTTTCATATGTGTAAGATTTTGAATCAGCTTCGAGCTTGACCAGCGATGTTTTCTTCTTCCCGGCAATCACATCACCCTTTAGAGAATTCAGGCTATCAAGTGATCTTGTCATATTGGGGGCATTCTGGGACTGAGTTTTGACCGCAAAAGACTTGTTCCTCCCTAGAGAAGCCACTGAATCCACCGAGCTTCGCCTGTCGTTTGGTTTTGCTGCAACCCTTTTCATGATAGGATGTCTCGACTTCTCTTCGAAGGCGTGTTTCCTCCCATATTTACAGAAGTCATGACAGGAACCAGTAGAAGATCTTAGATAATTAGGAACAACTTTTTTGCCGCTGTTTGAAGAGACAGCCTTTCCTGTAGAGTTTCTTCTTAAACCGTCCCCATCAAGTGTGGTTGGCGTCATTTGTAAACTGATATTCTCCTCCGCCATCAGAAAGAACAAGATATACTAAACCAACTTTAGAAGAAACGAGCCTGAAAACCAGCCAAAACTACTTTATGAGGGAGCAAAGAAAATAACAGGAGACGAATATTAACTCCAAACATATTGAACAATAACAAGTTTTGAAAACTCTGGTTCAAACAATAGTTTCATATTTCTTCACCCTGATGGGATACAGAAATAAAAGCTAAGCATTATATGTTACCACTTAGAGTGATAGTGGTGAAGAAAATATGTGGAAAAATTTTATTTATGTAATGCTAATTTTTAATGATTTGAGGAAATTAGACAGGGAAACATAAAGTTATGAATTTTTACCAGAGATGTATGTAGCTTTCCAATTTTGCAACTAGAGATTCTGAGAACTATTGAGTACAAAAAAGAATTTCACGCTTCTTATATTTCCCTATATAAATAAACAGACCACAATAAATATCATAAAGGTATTCAATTTACTGTTGCAACGTTTGAAGACAAAAGATGGCAAGATCACACTTCTTGTAATTCAAAACTACTTTCCATCACATTCTTCTTGTTTGGCAACTCTTACTAAAATAAGAAAATAATAAATAAGCATGTTGTCACAATAAACATAATGAAGTGCTTGAACAATAAGCAAAGACATAACCGAACAAGAAGAAACCAACAAACAAATAAGCAAGCAAATAAAGAAACCGGAATCATTGCTTGAAATCTAAGCAGAATAAAATAAACTTAAAAAATTAAAATATTGAAATCAAATAAATCACCAACGACAAAATCAAAGAAAATAATAGTAATAAAAAATAATAATAAAAAAAACTCATCCAGCTATACAATCCTCTCGTTACTTGCTCAAACTTCATTGTAATGAGCCTATTGATATATAAAATTTTGCATTCTAAGCGCAATACCCACCAACATATAGACTTTCAAGCCAAAAAAACTTGCTTTTTCAGATTAATAGATTTTTTTTTAATCATGTCGCACCCAATTTAATTGATACAGCAGTAGTAAGAGAACAAGGAAATTTCTCAATTCATTGTATCAAGAACAGAATTCCAAAAGAAGGCAATCTTGGGTTGAATCGAGAGAACTTGAAAAGCAGAACTACAAATAACTAAAAAAAAAAGTTAAAAATTCACACCAAAGATCTAAACTTTGTGCAAAAACCCATTTCAACAATAGAAAATGCAGAAGAAGAAAAACACCCGTCTTTGAACAATGGAAACTAATCAATTCCAAAACAAACACAAAAAAGAAAAAGAAAAAAGAAAAAAAAAAAACGCACCCATTAGAGCGTTTTTCTTGGCACGAAAACCCATTATCAAAATCACACTTTTCCGATAACCCATTTGCCAAGAGGAGAAAAAGACTATAACCCAATTCTCAGTTTTCCATAAAAAAAGAAAAAGAAAGAAGAAAGGGCCTTTTTTATAAACACAAACGCAAGGGCCTTTTTTATAAACACAAACGCGTAAGAGAAAGAAAAGAAGCATAACTTACCTTTCTTTTGTTTCCTTTTTTATTGGATTCTTTATATCTTTTCTCTCTTCTCTGCGTGCTTAACCAGAAAGCCAAGATAAAGGAGGAAGGGGACAAGAGAAGAGAATGAGAAGAGAAGAGAAGAGAAGGCGTTGGCGACTGTGTTTGTTTCGTTTTGGTTATCTTTTCTTTTCTTGGTGTGATTTTTGGATTTGGTTTTTGTGTGAAAAAATGTGTGATGATATTTGTTAAATATCTGTGTAGTGTGTACGTAGGATTCTGCTTCAGAGATCGTGCAAGCAAGAAAGCAAGCAAACTGTTTTGAAGTTTTTTTTTTTTTCTTTTTCTTTTTTCTGATCCGCGGGGATTTTCTAATTTGCCCTTTAAGCCGCGTTGGCGTTTGTTACAACTTACACAATCCTATCCTAAGATAAATAAAAGGAGAAAAATTTTGTAGGCCCCACCCAAAAGCAAATATTTTTTTATTTTAATTACTTTTAAAAAAATTATATTGTAGAGTATAAAATAAAACTTGATAAAATACAAAATAAATAAATAAATAAATTATATTGTAGAGTATAAAAATTGTAACATATTAAAATAGTATGTAACAATTACACAAAACTTGATAACATTGCGATTGTTTAGGTAGGGTTTTTTCTTTTGTATCATTTCTTTTTTTTTTTTTTAAATCTTATTAATAATTTATAATTTTAAATAGTTAGAATTTCATCAAATTCAATGTATTTGTATATATTTCTTTTTAAGTTCTCATGTATTTAGATGGCCTAGAAGTATAGAACTATAAGATACTTTTTTTTCTTTCAAAACAAAAATCCGGTTTTCACAAGCTATATATGGAATTGTGAGATGTGATATGTTATGCTTTAGAGAAATGTATTTATGATGTTGCCCATAAATGTTAATTTAAATTTATTACATAAAATGAAGGGAAGAATTGGACCTCTTTGGTAGGAAATTAAATATGACAGACAAATTGACGTCACTGAATTTTCTTAATTTGATTTCAACTTTCGAGCGTGTCATGTTTTCTTTCTTTCTTTTAAAAATGAAAATTTAATGTTTTCTTTCTCAATGATTAATTTTGAAAAATGTTAGTGTTTCAATTTCTACTATAAATTTTTGAATTGTCAAAAATGTTATTTTGAAATTGTAGTGGAAAACGTGGCCATATTCATCCCACTAAGCTAGCCATTTGTTTGCTTAAAAAGGAGGAAAAAAAAATAGCCATTTGTTTTCCTCATGCTCCTGCATTTTTTGTCGTAAATAATGGTAAGGCCAATTTGGTAGCAAAAATAATTCAAATGGTACATATGTTTCCCGTGAAAGTGCTTTTCGATTTACTCGAGGGAAATAATTCTAAACTTTTTCAAAATAATAATTCCAACAAAATTATTTAGCACTATTACCAATCAAGATTTTTTTCGTCAAAAAAAGAAAAAACAAAAACAAACAAGATGTCTTTAACATATATACGCCACTTGATCATGCACTATATATTTTTCCGTTTTCATTCATATTTAATTTGTAGTACTTTTTTTTTCTTAAATACAACGTTTTGTAGTAATTGTTCTTGTTATTTTAAATGTACAACTATATGGTTTAATTTAATCATTTAAAATGCAGAACTAATATGTATTAAGGGTCATCTCTATATTGTTCTCATGAATTCTAAGTTTAAAGAGTCTTTGGCTTTGACATTTCTATTTTTTTTTTCTTTTGTTTTAATCAAATAACGATATAAATATAAAGCCATAACTTGAGTTATGTATGTGAGAGAAAAATACAATAATAAAAAAATTAAATTTAAATTTTTGTGAGAATTTATAACGATAAAATTTGAGTTGTGAAATGAACAAAACTATATTTTTTATAAATCTCCTATTAGGATCAATTCACAAAGATTGACTGCAATACCTCACTGCAAGTTGAATCCATTGTAATTTGAAAGTTTTAATCTTAATTATAGAACAATAAGAACGATTTTTATATAGTAATTGACTGAGATTCCATCTTTATCAAAATTAGTTAGTGTTTTTTTTTTTTTGCTAGAATATCAAAATTAGGTATTTAGGTGTTAGGAAATGGTCCTTGCAATACTTTTTTTTTTTTTTTGAAAAAAACTTGGGACGCCCTTGCAATACTTTTATGCATATGCTTGCCCACATAAAAAATAAAAAAGTTAAAAAAAAAAAAAACAGAAGATAGGACCATACAGCAATATCTCAAAAGGGAAAAGAATTAACAGCAATAATTCACCCCCAAAAGAAAGAATTAACAGCAGTAAGCACTGCACGGATATCAGACAATGTTTTTTTTTTTTTTTTCTTTTCTTTTCTTTTCTTTTTTTTAAAGTTGATTTAATTTATTTATTTGTGTCGGCTATAATTAATTTGTTGACCTTTTTAGTGGCTCATAAGAGTCTCTTTCATTTCAAGGCCACCAACAGACTGCAGAAGGTATGACTAGGTTCAAATGTTCAATTTCCCAATATGGTTTATCATTATTTATATAAACCGACTATTTTTTCGTAATAAACTCTAAAGACTCGTTCATTTTATCAATTTAAATTTTATTACAGTAAAAAATTTTCAGAAACAGTCACATTTAATTTTTTTTGTTACAGTAAAAAGTTCTCACATAAAGTCACATCTCAACTTGAATTAAAAACTCAAATTGGAGAACTAAATGGGCCCTAAAATTGTACTTGAGAGATGCAAAGAACAGTAGCCCTACTCAAATTGGGATCATTAATCCTACATAGGAAGGACCTTTTAATACTTATATATACATACAGCTATACACGTGTATATATTTATTTGCTTGGACCATATTTGAAAGGATTTTTTTCTTCCAAAATCACATTTGTGTGCAATTTGTGATTACATTTCCCACATCCCAAGAAAAAGATGTCCTTACTGTTAGCTAGAAAAAAAATGTCGATCTTGGTCAATTTAAATATGTAATTTCTCTCATAAGACAAAAAAAAAATAAACCGGTGGTATTCTTTATTTTCAGCCATCACATCTATACTAAAAATTATTTATTTTATATATATTTAATATGATATAATTTTAATTAAATTTAATGATAAATTTGAATTTATCAGTAGAAAAGCTCTATAAGAAAAAAAAAAGCCCAAATAAAAATAAAAAAAAAAAAGAAAGAAAGAAAATGAGGTGTGAAATGCATCATATTTAGCATCTCACAAACTTGGAGGAAATGACAAAGTGGGGTTATCCAAAAGAGAGGTTTTAAGCTTCCTTCATGGGGGAAAAGTTTTATAACGTCTCTTTAATGATACACCATGATGATTAATAGAGCCAAAAAAAGTTGGTGGCTTGCATTAGTACGTGAAGACATGCTCCATAAATTTAAAGTCTTTTTAACAAAGTTGTATGGCCAAACTGGCATCAAGGTGTGCATATAAAAAGTGCTAAATGATATGATATACATGAAAAAATCACCTTGGTCTCTCTCTCTCTCTCTCTCTCTCTCTCTCTCTCTCTCTCTCTCTCTCTCTCTCTCTCTCTATTCCATATTTTTCAAATAAAATGTCCATTATGTGTAAACTTGCTTGGCCACACGAAACACATAAGTTACTGTGTTATTGACTTATTATATAACAAAAATTGTACTTGATTACTTGTAAACCTTGGTTTACTCCTTGATTTAACAAATAAGAGAGTTACATCTTTTAAATTTTAATCCTCTACGTTTTAGAGATATTTACGATAGGTCTTGAAAAAATAAACTAAGGGTGTTATTTATAATAAAAAATGTGTTGTATATTTTTTTCAAATTTAATATAACCATATCTAACAATTAGAAATATGTACTATCGATAGCAGACCTACTATATAAGTGGACCTTACTTTTTAGGCACAAAACATTTGATTCTCTACAATCAAGAGCTTTTGAGACTTTCCGCAAGTCCACTATTGTTTATGTATGGTGCCATAAAATTTTCCTGAAAATATATACCACTTTCTGAAGACTTGCTCTCATATGTGCAAAGGCTTTTGGGAAGAAGGAAAAATGTGAACATAGTTGGTAGCATCAAGCATGGCCTAGTTAAGAAGGTGACTCTCCAACAAAAAAGTAGGGTTTTCTTTATTGGTCAAGGGTATCAATATTGCAACCCATTTTATTTTCTCTTCCAATCCAAACAATTAATCATATTAAATGCTCATAAACTCATTCATCATATAAAGTTTTCATGGAATCAGCCTAATTCATTTCACCAATTTGAGTTTTTAGTTTTAGATTTTTACAGTAAAAATCTCTCAGAAAATATCACATATAACTTTTTTACTACAATTAAAATTTTTTAAAAAATATCACATCTTAATTCGAATTAAAAACTCAAATCTGCGAAGCAAACGAGACTTTCTACTCCAGCTCTACCAATGTTTCTTTTTTCTTCCTTTTTGTTTTCAAACAAAGGAAGGTGACTTACTTTCTCTCTCCCCTCTACTTCTTGCCTTAATTAATGTCAGGTAACTAACTCCTAACTTATGTTAACCTAACTCTCAACTATATCTAATTAAGAGTCAGAAAGAGTACATCAGAGATTTTGCATCAGAGTAGAATTAATTTTAGTACTAATAATCCGTACGATTTTAATCATGTCTCGTTACATCAGAGATTTTGCATCAGATTTTGCAAATAATTTTTTCTTAGAGTGAGTCCAAATAAAAATTAGACCCAAACATTGATGGACTGATCTGCACAGTTACTAAGGGAGATAAGAGCTCTTTTATGTTTTTTTATTGCTAATTGAAAAAAAAAAAATGGTTAGTAATAATGGTCGTGTACCCAAATAACTACGAGATATAGATTTCACCACAAAGTCAATAGTCCATGTATTCCATTTATAATGGCGATAATAACTTGGACCTAAAACCATATCAAGAACAAGTAATCTTGCCAACCACGTGGTGGTTGGTTATTAAGCGTGCGATTAGAAAATGAGTTCAAACTAATCTAATTTTCTCTCACAAAAAAATTTAATTTAAAAAATTTTACTATAGTGTTTTCTCTCACAAAATTTGAACTTTAATTCAAACTAGCGATTGGTATATGGATCCAAAATCATAATTCTGGATTCTGGTTCAGAATAAGTATTTGATTTAGATGATTTTAAATCATGATCCAATTTTGTTTGGTTGGGGGATTCGTACTCCGATTTGAATCATGGTTCGTGATTCGCTACAGTATTTTCTCTTACAAAAAATACACGTAAATAAAAAATGGTTCTAATCTCATGATTCTAATTCATGAACCAAACGTCTAGGTGATTCAAACTCCTGATTCTGAATCATGATTTGAACCCAAAATTATGAATTATAGTTCTAATTTCAGAATCATGATAAAAATCACACTGATTTGAATCTTTATACCAAACGAACCATACCCATCTTCCAAACAGACTCTTACACTCTCGTGTAGGAATTTTCTTTGATGTTGTGTTTTTTCAGGCAATACAACTAGGCTTTTTCCAGAAAGACATGATGTAGGGCTATAAGCAACTGCCTTACAGTGTGTTTGGTAGGACGGAAGAGAGAGAGAGAAGAAAATAGAAAAAGGCTTTTATAGAGAAAAATGAAATTTTAAGTTATTTGGTAGAAAGAAAATTTGGAAGGAAGGAAAATGAAAATCTATGAGACCCACTAATTTTTAATCCTTTCAACTTTGGAAAGAAAAGATAAGAAAAAAAATTTGACAAAAAAATAAAATGTAAAATAACAATTTTAACCTTCACCATTTATTATATTTTTATTTGTGTTGAGATATTGTTGTAAAATGTCTTAAATTTGACATTTTATTTTCACTTTTTTTCTCTTCTACCAAATAACATGAGAAAAAACCATTTTACTTTCTTCATCTAGACATTTTATTTCTCTTTCCTTCCTCTTTTCTATCCATCCTACCAAACATAGTCTTGACTCGGTGGGAAAGACCATGGAATACATAATACAACCAAGCTTGCATAGGAGAATCTCCATTCCAAAGCAATACCTTTGACAGATTTCTTTCCATTACAGCGAACTTTCTAGACAAGAAGATTACAATTTTGTTTTCAAAGAGAAAGCAAAAGGATTGAGAGATATCACCCACAGCAGCCTAAAATATCCATGTATTTGTAACTATAATAGGTGTAGAAGTATCAACAAGCAGCTTGGCAGCCTAAAATATCCATGTTTGTGTTATCGTTTCCGGCCTGAAACTGTTTTCTTCACGGCTCCCACCGAGACTAGAAATTCATCAAGGGATGACAAAGTCTTCATGTCATCTGGTGGGAAGTAACTTGCGGCCTTTCCCATTAGCGATGTGAAGAGAAGAGACAGCGTTGGACGAGTTATGTAACTCTCACCCAACAAGTCATCCAGAAACGCAAATGCAGCTAAGAAAGTAGACCTATTTGCATTGATTGGAGCAGCAAAATGAGCAGGGATTATTCTCTTGAACCTCCAGTCCCGTGTGATTCTATCAATCCAATCCCTCACCTGAATTTCCAAGTAGAAATCGAACACATTGCTTTAGAATCAGTCATAAAACTAAAAAGCTTAAAATTTTCTGTTCAAAACAGTCCAGTACTATTTCACTAGAAGTAATTCTTAATTACACGTTTCAACATGTTCTTGTCATCAAGAATCAGAAGCAGAGAAAGCAAATGTCTAGAAGTCAACAAAATGCATCGATTGCGCATAAAATCTTTCTAGTATGTTTACCTTTTCAGGAACTTTACTAAAGACCAGAGTCTTCACAATTGGTGAAACAATCAGCTTCTGAGACATCTGAGCAAAGGTAGCATTGGGTTCCAACAGATTTGATGGACCAAGAAATAAGATTTGGAGAACCATTCTTTCCCACCCTGTATCCAAAAAATAACCGTATTCATTCACAATGGAACGTAGACATACATTATCCCTCTCTAAATGCATTATCATTGTAATGAAATTTACTCGCAAATAGTTTTTCAGTGGAGCTTGAAATAAAGGACCGACCTTTTTGACGGTTCATCTTGTTGTCAACTACTGGTTCATTGGGGACTTCTTTTCCTTTACTTAGAATTTTCACAGCCAAACCATTCTTTGCAGATGCCAACAACGATTCTTTGCTTATACACTCGGGTGGCTTCCTTGGAACAAAAATTACTGCATCTGTTATGAGTAGTGTTCTCGACGGCTTATGATAGAAAGCTACCTCCACATATGGTCCAATACCTGAACAAGAAAAATCAAACAAAGGGTTATTTTTTCTGATAAGTTAATCACCAATGAAATAACAAAACACTAGTGCTTTCATAATTATATATGCAGTTCGTATACCAACTTCTGGCGAGCTTAGAACTTTCTGCTCAATCTCATCAGCCCATGGGCTGGACAAGTCTTCATCTTTTAGCGTTTTAGAACGAAAGATCCCGAAAAACTCCAATGGTAAGTTCAATGGCCAACTCCACTGCCTTGGTGCCACCCAAACCTGAGCCCGAGGGAACTTTCTAGAAAACGGGCCCACAAAAATTTTGTGTTCATAAGCAAATGTAGGCAGGACAATGTATTCTACTGGAGCTCCTAGCTCTTTCACAAGCTGGCAAGAGAGCAAATTACTCATAAGAAAATGTTCACAGAATCATATAGTTACCATTAAATACTATAAGCAGAATTTGACACTGCAGGTTGCAAAACAAATAAACATCAACAAGAAGAAAAAAAAAAAAAGGTAAAGGGTCAGTTTTGGATTGCTTTCGCGTTCCCAAAAGTGATTATTAAAAATATTTCAACAACTGGCTATTTTGGTAAACTTGTTTCTATTTAGATTGTTTTAAAATTTTGTAGTCATAAAATAACAACTTTTACAAGCAATCTGTCTGGCAAATGATTCTAAAAGTGATTGGCACAAAATTCAACCTCTCTTCAAAGTAATTTTGAGAAGCAGAAAGCAGAATCCAATTTCTTTAAAAAAGCACAACAATACCAACCGGCCTTCAAATTGGAAAACAAAATGGGACCTGAATGCATTCCTTGGTTGGAGCAATGGGTGCGTGGATCCACAGTCCGCCGGATTTGAGTTTGATGACCGTCATTCTAATGTTTGTTGAGACACTGCTGAAGCCCAATGCTTGCTCTTGCTCAAGCAACCATATACAGCCTTTCACAGCCTAAGAGCGTATAGAATGAATGGATTAATGCATAAGTTGACGTAACAAATTTGTATGCTCTCAAAGGTACCTCAGTTCTCACTATAAAAAGAGAGAACTTTGTGAACATGATTCCTTGAACAAATAGACCATTGGTTCAAATAGCACAAAAGAAAGGAAAAATTACCAAACCAAAACTTAAACAAATAATAAAAGAATTATAAAAAAAAAAAGTTATAATTCAGAAGAACAAATGGTAAGTTTTAAGGTAAACGAAGCTAACCTCAGTCCTAATAGTGCGTCTTCTGAGGAAGGGACCAAGAGGGAAAGGGAAGCCTGTAATGTTGAAGTAGAATGTGCCTCCATTGCTGCTGCTGCTGTTAGTATTTGTGATGTTGGCATTTGCTGAAGCAGCGACGACCAAACTGAGGCCATCTCCGCTCTTGTTTCTTGCTCTCGGCTGTACACACAGGCCCTTCAATTTCAACGACCCACCAAAGAAACTACAACTTGGGTCTCTCCGAACTACTACTGGGTTCTGCAAAATGGTCGATTTTGCTGAGGAAAAGGCAATTGTTGCAACCATTTTTTTAGAAGCGTTTTGTTCTTAGCCAGACAGACCACTGGACAGAGGGAAGTGGGTACATAGCAGAATCTTAAGATCGAAAATTCCAGGATGTGTTTTTGACACGTGGAGGCCTACTTGGCTTTGTCTGTGCATGGATTTTCCTGGATTTTAGATTTATTGTGGCCGCTAGGACAAGTGTAAAAAAGAAGGATGTGGAGAGAAATGGCAAAGCGGAGAACTTTCTAGAACCAAGATTCCTTAATCCATTGATTTATAAATTTTCGAAATACATATTTTCTATAGGGAATTTTAAAAACAAATAGCCAAATACTGTATTACGGACGCGGCGAAAATTGCATTTACTCTACGCTTTGTCTTTAGTTTTGCGCTTGCGAAAAAGGGTTGCTGAATTTAGCATAGAACTGTTTAAGAAGAATGGTTAGTTGGAGTGCTCATTTCAAGAACTTTACTTCCCCCCAAAAAAAAAAAAAAAAAAAAAAAAAAAAAAAAAAAAGAAAAGTGCTCGTTCGGAGACCTGTGAAAGCTCCGTCCGCCATCAATGGATTATCCATAGTTCACGAAATTACACCTTCTAGGTGTCTCATACACATTAAGCACCAACTGCTTTGCCTAATCAATGGAAATTAAAACACCACATAAACTACATGATTAAAGTCATCATTACAAACTGCTCTTTATAATCAGTCATCATTTCAATATAGATAACAAGACTGACAGATACGCTGAGAAGATCGTCCTCTACGTATACTATTATCCAAGTTATTTTCCATTACCTTTAGGCAAAATCATCTGGAATTTTGTTACAAAACAAGCATAGAACTAGTATAATATATGTCTTATCCACAGAAGTATCCACCTCTTAATTAATAGAAACAAGAAGGTGAGCTTATAATATGACAACCCATATATTGACTACCTAGTGAATTCACATCAAATCATCTGAATATCCGCAGAAACCTTTTTTTTTTTTTTTTGCCAACTTTGCAGAATTCATGAACCTGACACGCAGCATCTACCTTCTGCAGGAGGTCAAATGATTGGAAGAAGCATACAACAGAAGTGGTATTCACATCAGATGAATTTGCATGGAAGATTGTGGAAACTTAGAAGCCTGGAAAGTCGTCGAATTGCATACTACTGGGGCTAAGGATGAGCTATCATGTAGGAGGAACTTCTATTCACATTGCTTGCGAACTCAGAGGCAAATGGCATCTCAGGTGATGATTTCTCTCACGAGCCAGTCCAAACTAGGATATGCAAAGTACAATATGAGAAACGACGGAAGGGCAAACAAAACTGTGACGAGTATGTACAAAGCCAGTATCGCTGCACTTGCTGGAATAGCATATATGATGATTAGAAGGAATATCACAACCAACGGAAACTTGGCCGTCAAATGAGCGAAGAAAAGCAGTGATTTCTTAAGGGAAGAATTTAGTCTCTCCAAACTGAGGTAATTACTGAGATGGACACGCTCGTTTGATCTTGATGGCTCGGAATGGCGTACATGGTGTCCCCTCCTAAGATTACTACCACTGCTTATTTGACAGGCCATGGATGTACTGCCATTTACAGACCAGGAAGGATGATGATCTTCAGATTGGGAAGAATGGGTCTTAACTCGATCGCCATTCATGCTCTCAACCATCCAGAGAAGAAAGTAGTTCTTGTGGGGGAATTTAAGGTTTCCCCTGTAAACCAGACGGAAGGATAAAAGATTGCACCATGGGCAGGAGATAAAGAGTGGGAGCTGGATTGGTAGAGTGGGGAACTTCACAACTGCCCATTGCAATCCCAGAATGCAATTTTTACAAAGGGTATGGCCACACCATAAAACATAGGGCACGTTCTCGACAAGGTTGAAGGATTCACAGCATATGGGGCATTCTAATCCTTCTTCTCTGCCAACCACAGAAGAAACCTCGTCATCCGAACATTCAGAAGCGGTTTGTGCCGGCTTCTGAGGATCCTTTTTCAATCCGACGCTTCCAGCTATGCAACTGGATGCAAAATTCCACATTTCGACAACACCGTTTGAGCGACTACAGGCTCACCTCCACATGCTAAATTCAACAAAGTAGTATCTCATAAAGAACCTATTGAAGACTGAACCACGCCTCGAGCTATTGCAAAATATACAAACATCCAACCGCACCCAGATACATCAAAGTTTCTACTGAAAAGTAAATTTGTTGGGTATTAAACTATCTGGCATTCAGCATTGTACAATATGAGCAGGGAAAGGAAAAAAATAAAAAAACAACTAATGAAAAGCAAACACACTGTTACTTTCCTAAAACATAATAAAAAAAGTACATGCTTTAAGCACCATAGTTAACACTTAACAAATACACAATCGCATTGCAAGGAAGAGCATCACTTTCTACGGGTTTTACACTATACTACAAAAATTATCTCGGAATTTGCATCTTTGAGTGTTATATTGTAGAAATAATGTCTGCCCTTCGTCATTTATTAGTGATAATCAAGAGGCAATTTATGATAGTTAGCCATTAAGACATAAAGATTATTAGTACTAAAAACAATAACAATGATGATCATAAAAATCTTTCAGATTCATTTCATAGATAGCCCTGATTGTGACTCAATTTCACAGAACAATGATAAAACCACGTCCATAAAATCCTACAGAAGATTGCAAACTCAAAGAATCCAATTAACAATAAGAGGATTGGCAACAAAAACATATAATAAAAAAGAAATCAATAGTAATTAAAAAATGGGAATACCAATTAAATGCACCGAGAAGAAATCGGGCATGTTAAGGAACAATCTTGATCTTGACCCAGAATACGAGCAATTCGGATCAATTTCTTGAGACACAACCAAGGAAATTAAATAACAGAAAAATCCTAAAAACGAGAAAGAAGCTCAAAATCAAACAAATGCAATGGCGAATTAGAATCAGAAGAAGAACCTTACGGATGTTTAAGACTGAGATCGATTTCGGAGCGATGAGAATTCCGCTCTGAAAATCGAAAGAGAGAGAGAGAACTTGGCAATCTCTCTTCTCTCGCCCGCGGTGAGACTGCGAGAAGAGCTTAAGCTCTGATGAGAGTCTCTGAAGAGAACCCTCGAATAGATTTTTTTTTCCTGGATTTGATTATTTGACCTTTTTGTTTTGTTTTTAATTGTAGAAAAAAAAAAAAACAACAACAACAACAAAAAGACAAAGATGCAACGGTGTGGGCCACTATCTCAAAGGCAGTTAAGGCCAAGTGGCTATGTTGAATTATGGGAGAAAGAGAAAAATGAATTAAAATTAATAGTTAATAGTTTACATAAGTTAATAAATATATTAAATTATTGTTTTTGTTTATAATTTGTTTGGTTATGAACTATAATTTAACAAGTTATTGTTTATAATATATCTGCTTATGAACTATAACTTGACAAGTTTATCCATAATTTATCTGATTATAAATCATAACTTGACAAATTATGACCTATTAATTTCTATAACTAAAAAATGGCCTATAAACTTTCTTAAGTTTTTCATATTAGCCTATTTTCTACTATTTTCCTTAAATTATTTACATATAATGAATGAATATATAAATCACAATGTATGCAAATCATAATAATGAATGAATATATGCAAATCTTTTTCATATTAGCCTATTTTCTACTATTTTCCTTAAATTATTTACATATGTAGCTATAAAAAAACAAGCCGTGGGATACAAAAATGTCATAAATTGAATATAATTTATTACATGTGTCCATTAATAATTTATGTAGATTTTCCATTCCAAACAATCTTGTGGAGAGGGTCAAACCAAAGAAATCACAAGTGATAATTCTAGCAATGAGGCCAAGTGACAAGTGTATGTTCTTCCTTTCTCATAAGTTGTTGGAATGTCGATGAAATACAGATTTTGACGAAGTTTTTTTTTTTTTTTTTTTACCAAATTTGTTTCATTGCCTTAGAAAACAAGTATCTGAAGTGGGTTCTACTTCTAAGTTTAAATCAAGCCAAACAGGTCAGTCTGAAGTCTGTCATTGTTGGCCCATTTCTGTCTAGTCTGAACCTTCAGACTGAGTTGGATCGATACTCTAGATTTAAAACTATTTTTTTGATTGACCTAGCCCGGTTCAGAGTGATTTTATTATTCTTTTATAAAAAAAATAGAAAATAGGTCAATATAAAAAGTTTAAGAAAGTATATATGCCAATGTTTAGTTATAGAAATTAATAGTCATAATTTGTAAAGTTATGGTTCATAACCAGATAAATTATGAATAAACTTGTCAAGTTATGGTTCATAACCATACAAGTTATAGACAATAACTTGTAGTTATGATTCATAACCAAACTAGTTATGAACGAAAACAGTAATTTAGCCTATTTATTAACTTATGTAAATTATTGACCTATTAATTTTAATTTATCTAAAGTCTTGACTTATTTCTCTCTTTCACCCTAAAAAAATTCCTGATAAAAGTTCATGCTAGCCCGAACCTATGACTAGTATGCCAAGTTTTAAGGTGAGACTGGACCAACCTTCTTTCTTTTAAAGTTGGTCCGAATATCCCTTTTATGCAGTTAAACTTGGGTCAGGCCAGTTCGGACGGCTCGATCTTTTACCTTTAATCCAAAGTTGCAGATGTTGGCAGGCCCGCCAAAAAGGAGGTGAGAGAGGGCCCTTTTCATTTCCTCTCTTGGCGTGCTCTTTCTCTCCTTCAATCTTTTATCATTCTTTCTCATGGTCACTCATCTACTGTCTCCCTCTAGTGCTTCACCTTCAAGTTCAAAGAACTCTAATTTCTCGACGCTTTTTCACCACAAAACACTCTCACTAAGCCTTTTTTTTTTTTTTTTTTTTGGCACTCTCTCTCCGCCCTTCCGGCTCTCTCTTTCACTGCACTTTCTCTTTATCACGGCACTGTCTCTTTACCTCAATCACAATGCCCTCTCCCTCTCGCCATTTCTATTTATGTTTATGGTCGTGTCTACTTTCGGGGTAATGTTGGGCCTTCAAATCAACCGTCTCTAACGAAATCGAATTGCAATTGAACGTGCGAATTTATTCTACTTCAGTGTGGTTTGCTTTTTCAGCAAACTAAAGAAGATTTGGTCATGTTCCTGAAATTTGACAGCTTGAGATTGAACAGAATTTAATCATGCACAACCCTAGATGAAATGCAACATTCCATAAGAATTACAATGATGTGAATGGCATTGATTTCAAACAATATCCTCCGGTTATATGTTTTTAAGCTTATGACAAAAATATTGTTTTAAAATAAAAGAAAAATACATGGTTTGTCATTTGATGCAAGCTTATTATTTATATCATTTTAAATAATTAAGTGTTATTATTACCTTTTTTTTATTAATTAAATGACAATTATTTATTTTTTTAGTAAAGTGATATAAATAATATTTTTTTATAAGGGGTATTTTTAGTTTTTCTTTTCTTTTCTCATATTACAAGATATCTTCAATTATCATAATAGAATGTCGGTAATCACTAGTTGTTAGAAATCTTTAGTATCACGGTGAATACCTATAACTATAAGAGTATATTTGGTATGGTGACAAGACATTCTCTATAAATACTTTTTCTCATGGACACTAATCAATGTATGGATGCATCTGTAGCATGTCCGGCAATTTATGTCATTAAGTATAGAAAAAAATTACACATTGACAATTTTACGAGAATAGAATTGAAATATAACAATGTTTTAAAAATATTTGAGTGACAAATATACTTAGTAATTATTATAATGCTATTCTTGTTTTATTCTCTGGAAGTTACATAATAAATTATTTCAATGATTTTAACTTTTACCATTTGTAATATTCTTACTTTTTTTTCGATATATTTCGAAATAACATATATGTCCAATTTTTTCTTGGGAGAAAGAAGAAAATAGGTCAAGACTTGAGATGAATTAAAATTAATAAGCCAATAGTTTACATAAGTTAATAAATAGGCCAAATTACTGTTTTTGTCTATAACTTGTTTGGTTATGAACCATAACTTGACAAGTTATTATCCATAATTCACGGTTTTTATCCATAACTTATCTGGCTATGAACCATAACTTGACAAGTTTATCCATAACTTATCTGATGATAAACCATAACTTGATAAGTTATGACCTATTAATTTCTATAACTAAAAATTAACTTATATACTTTTTTAAATTTTTCATTGACGTATTTTCTACAATTTCCGTTTTTCCCTTTTGACAATACAACTTTTTGTTGGGCCCAACAGATCCCAACTAAGAAGACCCGAGCCACATGGCCCAACTCATTCGAATAAGAATTTTATACCAAAGTTAACAAGATAGTAGCACAGCTACAGAAGATGAGGCACGAGCATATACTTGGGGAGTTCAATTCTCCGAGTTCAGTTTGTAACTTCCGTTTTCCATACGGCTCTGTTTATTTCACCGATTTAAATTTAAAATTTAAATTTTATTACAGTAAAAAACTCTAAAAAATAATTACATATAATTTTTTTACTACAATAAAAAGTTCTTACATAAAATCGCATCTTAACTCGAATTAAAAACTCGAATCAGCAAACTAAACGGACTTATATTATGTTCGTCTTCTTCAATAGATAAATAAATAATTTCAACAAAATTGTTGGACTGATAGTCCAAACACCAATGTGTACTTTCTTTTTTCTATCGGAGCGGTAATCTTAATATTAATATTACCTCGTCGCTTTAATTATCAAGGCATATGAGAAGTATGATAGTGGAGGGGCTGAACATGTAATTGGGGCAATAGCAAGATTAAAGAGATCACATACATATTTTTGCCTGCTTTTTCAAATTATGCCTTTCCTACCTGTGTAGTATGTCCTTATAGCATTACGGTCCTCTTCCCAATTAATAACGAGGAGCTTGAAACTTTTTACTTTTTTTTTTCGATTTAAAACAAAGTGAAGCACGATATAACTGCAGGGTGTTTGTACGCCAAAAGAATCCTCGGGAACTTGAAACTCTATACGTGTTCCTTAAGTTATGTTTGTTACGAGGAGGGAATGAAAAAAAAATAAAAAGGAAATAAAGGTCTATAATGATGAGAAAAAATGATTTGAAAACTTTTATTTATCTACATTGTTAGACCAGACAAATCAACAATCAGCGGCGTTCTGTACACACAGAACAATTAAATCAATCTTGTTTAAACAGAAACTAAAAATACTGTGAAGTAAAATACGAAACAATCAAATGAACACAGCGATATAGTTATTTAATGTGGCTAAAAATCCTTTCAGGAAAAAACCACGCGTGCTTATCATACTAACACAAAGAGAATTCCACTATCACCAAATGCAGTTACAAAGCTTGAAATTACAAGAAACCTCAAATCTACACCAACTTCTAACTCACGGTGACTACTCTTGACTCGCTTTCATATTCCTTGCCTTATTTCGAGTCTTTTGCTCGCCTTCGGTCCTCCTGACCTACTCCAAACACGATGCCCACCTTCAATCCTCCTGACTTACTCCAAGCGCCATGATCCGCCTTCGGCTCCTCCTCGAAGCTACTGTGGATCTCACAAAAGTCTACAGAATACAGGGTTTGAGAGATACAAATAAAGCCTAAGGAACACTCTAATTTTATCTCACTCTTAAGCACAAAGGAGAACACTTAATTTTTTCTCACAAAATGAACACTCAAATTTTGTTCGTGTTCTCTCAACATGAAGGTTTCAAAGCGGTCTCTTTAAATAATGAACCGCCCGGATATGAGAAAGGTCTAGAATCTCTCCACTTGATCTGGGTTGAGATCTTATTGTAATTTCCTCATTGAATTTCAGATGCACAAAATCTTTCCATTTTAAGTCTTCCCGAAATTCCAACTGTCATCGTATGAATAGATTCAAAATCCGTCGTAATGTGTGGATAGACAGCTTGCTTGTTGACTCGACAGATTACTTGAATTCTGCAGTTGTCAAAACACTCAAGACAGACAACTCATGATCTATTAATCAAGTTGTAATCAATTATAATTCAATCAGATCTAAAATTGCTCACGAAAATCCTGAATGAAACATCTAGAAAAACTTGGTCAATAATTAAATTGATCCTCAATGAACCTAGACTCAAATATGTGCAAAGATTAAA